ACATACATATATATATATATATGGAAACACATGCACACGCACACGCACATATATATATATATAAGTGTATGTAGGTGCACATGCTTATCTAACGGCATGGTGTATGCACCTTGCGCGTCCACCGGCCGGCAAGCACATGAGGAAGCAGCGAGAAGCCGTTCGCATCGTAATTGTTCAGGTTGTTCGGGCCTGACAAAGCTAGAGTGTTTCAAGAGTGTGGATTTTGAAAACTACTTTGTGGTTCGGCCACGGGAAAGAGGCGGAATCTGAATGCTGGAAACATTTTTTCCTATGTACTTGCCCATGCTTAGACACGTTTTTGTGAAGACTTTACCAACACGGTTGGCAAGTGACTGCAATGACCTCCTTAATCTCATCTAGAAGAAACCAGAGAAAGCCGCCCAATGCTAAAGTCGTGGGCAGCGAAACCCTTTCCAAGCGCAGCAACAGAAGCGCCGCGACAAGCAGCGCAAAGTACGCCCGCCGACGCTAGAAATCCAGATGGGAGCTAGGCTTAGGGGGACCCTTGGGGATATAGACCCTCTCAATAAGGCCCTGTTAAGAGAGCCAAAAGTAGGGTTCAGAAGGGGTACCCTTTAATGGGGTACCCCAAATAATACTACCTAATCCATGGCCCCTGGCTCTGCTCTGATCCGGAACGATTATGAGTCGGTGCCAAAGCACGTCATTATATCTCCTCCGCCCCACTCTGATCCAGACGAAACATGCTGAACATCAATTTCCCAAAGTCCGAAAGCAAGGATAAACCCGAATATCCGAAAAAGAAGAAAGGCAGCATGGATGTCTGAAGCCGGATGAGCGGGCAAAGGAGGGTGAAGATTTTGGAGCCCTCTCTTCTGCACCCCTGGGGCACGCGACAGCAAGAATCGCCCTGCAACGATTGAAGCAAGAGATGCAACGCTCCGGCCGTAGTAAATAAAGCAAACATCTCCACAGGTAGTTTGTGAATACATGTTGATGTTTAATTACTGTCTGTTTCCGGGGTTCAGAATTAGCTCAAACCCTGCTGCCCCCACCCCCCCAGCCCAAGTAGCGAGCATGGAGGAAGCAGGCTGTCTTAAATACCTGAGAACCTGAATCCTGAACAGCAAAACTGCAAGACCCACACCTTTAAGCTACGAATCCCGGTTATGCTGTAAGCCGTAAGTAAGCCCCACTCCCAGACTTTCGGCCATAACCCGTTGTCCTATGGGTTTAGGGTTTATAGGGTTCAAAGTAACCCGCCGACAAAACTCCTCGAAGGGGCGCCCCAGGCCTTCATCCTGTCGAAGATGACGAAAATCGAGGAGAGCCAGGGGGCAGAGCGCAAGTTCGGCTCCCTCCAGTTCGCCGCTTCTTGACGTAAATATCTGTATCAGGAGTACATGTGTGTGTGTGTATATATATATATATAGGACGGGCGAGCGAGAGAGAGAGAGAGAACAATCGACAGAGAGATTTTTGAAGCGCTATAGGTCCTAACTCGTCCCTCTCTAGAGTGGAAAGAATCTATACTACAGTGCTACAAGGTTTTGAGACTGACTCTATAAGTAGCAAGCGGAACCTATTCGAGGCTTTCCAGTACTGCCCGCTTCTCCTTGTATTCTTATATGTTGAAGCTGAATCTGAATGGCATGAAAAGGGCCCTGTTCTTAGGGTGCCACTGGGGAAGCTAGCTAAGGTCGCGAATTGCATTGGTTTCGGACTAAAGCTGCAGAAGGTGGTGGATTACAAGGTTGTAGGACTTCAGGTCTACACATGCGCGCATGCATTTGCCTATAGAGTGAGTCAGTTATCTGCCTCTTTGTTCACTCATTCGTACACTGCCAAAAACAGAAATAAACCCAGGATCACCTCATGGGATCCAACCTCCTGCTGCAGCGGCCTTGCTTTCTTCGCTTCCTGGTCGCTCTCTTCTGCCTCGGACAGGCGAAAACGGCTGGCAAAAGTGATCCCCTTTAAAGGTCTAGGGCCTAGTGTTCGGCTTCAGTACTTTCGGCTTTAGTTTGATACAAAAAAATATGAATAGCATTGCCCCTAAAGTCTGCATGAGAAGTGCGGCAGGCTGGGCATGAGGCATGTGTGCTGCGATTGCAGCTCACCCTCAGTCGGGCTCAGCAAGTGCCAAGAACTCACGTAACAGGAAAAATATGCTGGGGTTCTGCTATTATACAGAAATTATAATCTGTGAAAAATTAAAAGCACAGGTCCTATTGATTCGGTCCTTTGGTTAGGTTAGGCCTTTCAGGGTTGCAGGCGTGCACTATATGGTATTATATAGCAAGCGTTTGTAGGACGACGTAGCCCGGAACTCTGAACCGGCAGACCACTAGAACACCCCGAAGCCCTGAACTCCGCGCCCACACCAGCCATCCTCGTCGTTACCACACCATCAGCCCTTGGAGCTGCAACCTTTTATTGAAATCTTGAAATGTGCTGCTATTCAAGGTTGTAAGCACACTCTGCAGGTTCTTGTTGCAGATTCCCTGAGTAAACCTGTTGCTCGAAACACGGCGACGGGGAGGATCCTGAAGGAAGGATACCCAACCTTGCAACAGCCGCCGTTTCAATGTGTGGCCGAGATCGGCGCCACGGTCGCCCTGAAAGTCGTGAGCAACGGTCAGCCCCAAGGCCTCTCCGTTGTGGGTGCAGTCAGAATGAGTGGTGCCTTGTTTTGGCAAGGGGTCCTATGTACTGTTATGGGGGATACTTCCCTAAATCATAATAGCAATTCCTAATATAGAAACCCTACATTCTACTATATAGGCAGGTACATTGGACCCTCTGGGTTTGGCTAGCACAACCTAAATTACTTTCGTGTAGGACGTGGTCAAGCGGGTGTCCCGCAACCTTTCTTAGGAAGACTGCATTTTATGGACGGGAGCATGGTATTTCGTTTGCTTTGCGAGCTTGTGGTCTCTGCGTTCTGAGTCGCCCACCCCCAGCGGACAAAACTGCGGAAGTTTCCCTCAGAGAACTCCGGTGGCCAAGCGAGTCAGGAACTAGGCAAGTAGACCTGCAGATCTGTGAAAGCATAATTCATATCCTGAGAACGAAGCCGCAAGGCACAGGTCAAAAGACGTAGGGAATGTCGGATGTATGGAACTCCTGGTATAATTTCCTAACGTGTGGAGCTGTGGGTCAGGGTGCTTTACCTGTCAAACCCCAAGTTACCGCAGCCTCAGGCATCTTAGAGTTGAGCCGAGTCGCCATCCAGATGTTGATGCGGGCCCTGCAATGTTAGAGGTCCAGGACAAAATCTCGATTGTTCGTCCGATGGTGAGAGACTGAGAGAGTAGACCCTACAGAGATTTGAATTTTGTGCTTGCGAACCCTCGGGTTGTTATAGAGGTTGTGTTCCTTTCAAGCTAATATAAAGGCCTAAATAATTACCAATGCGATTTTGGGAGGCTCCGTTTTTATGATTATAGTATAATATACCCCAAACACTACTCTAATAATTAAGGCCCCTACATTGCACAGTTATCAGTCAGGTCACGGATTCACCTTGGTCTCCTCCGTGCTTTATGCTTTGGCTGCTGCTGGCTTGTCGAACCTCCTGGGTCAGGCTAACAGCTCCGCTGACCTGGAGAAGCTTGTTGGAGATGAGGGTAGTTTTCAAAATTAGGGTCCCTTTTTGGGTCCTTTTTTATAATGGTGCCGCACTATATTGGGGATCCAAAACGGGACCCTAATTTAGAGAACTACCCATGAAGTCGTTGGTGCTGTAGGGATTCCAAGGGTTTAGGGTTCAGGGTTTAGGGGGTTGGCAGAGTCTGGGTTCAAAACAAAGGGTTCAGGGTTTAGGGTTTAGGGTCTAGGCGTTGGTACTGTAGGGATCCCAAAGATTGTTGATCAAGTGTGCAGCTCTGTTAGATGATTACTTCGTTCTAACAATATTTACGCGTTGCCTGGCGCTGCTACTCCCCCTGGATGCAACGGCAGAGAGAGAGAGAGAGAAACAAAACAGAAACAACTCGTATCCTCCAATACCATATGAAAAATGTTCCGTTGTAAGATATATATATATATATATTTATTTATTTATGTATTGAATCGTGTATGGTAGTTTATAACTTATAGCATAAGAATCAAAGCACTACATGGTGTGACTTTGGCTGATAGAATCTGATATGCCATGGCCTATTCTGTATTGGGTGGTTCTATGATTTTAATTTATGCTCTCGTAGTTTCTGTCCTGTTCTATTCCATTCTATTTTAGTCTGCTCTGTACTCCCGTACTCTTCTAATCTGTTCTACTCTTTTCTGTTCTGTTCTATGTAATTCTACGTAATTCTAATTCTATTCTGTACTAGTCTAAACTAAATCTAATCTTTTCTATTCTATTCTAGTTCTGTTATGTTAGATATACCTGTATACTCGATTAAATTTTATTCTATGTTGTATATATGACCCCAGGCTAGCAATCAGCCGACTCCATTCTTTCGTCGCCGACTTCATGCTCTGCTGGAACGACGTTTCGGGCAAGGACTGTGACGGGGTTTGGGATTTCGGGCTTTTGGACTACATTGATTACAGTTGAGGTTTAGGGTTTTTGGGTTAAAGGTTCCGTGCATGTCCCCTGACTGTGCTTTGCAGCAGCGGCCTCCGAATTCATGCTGTCACGAGTGCAGCGTGGAGTGAGGCAGCCGCCCTGGCGTGACGTTGCAAGCCGGTTGAAAACGGTTTAAGGTTCAGGTTTTGAGGTTAAGGGGTTTGTGGCTTTGGATTGGCGTTTTGAGGCCCGGGTGTTTCGGCTTTGGAGTTCGCAACTTGCCATTGTGGATGCAGGAAACTTGTGATCGAACGCTCTATACCCGAAACCCTGAACATATATGCAAAGGTCTCGTCAGGGCCTGTCGAGATTGTTCCGCACTCGTTCCGAACCTCCTGGATACCGCAGGAGTGGAGATTGTTCCTCGGTGGCTGGCTATTCCTCGTCGCGGTCTTCTCCGCCACCCAAGTTTTCGAATCCTGGCATCTGGGTGCCGACTTGGTCGGGCAGGACCTGGCGCAAGACCCGTTTTGATATTTATGAAATCGCTTTCACGGTTTCAGCGGCTTGTGGAGCCTTGGCCCCCGTCAGCACACTGTCCCAGCATATTCAACGATGGCATTGAGCTGTTAATTAAGCGCTGTGATGCTCTGCTTCCCTGTCCGATGTTGCAGAGACGAAGCAGAGCCGGGTCCACCTTCACGAGACCCAGCTTCCCGATTCACCCCTCCAAGTGGCTGATGTTTCGAAGGTTGTGTTTCTTCTCTCTCCATCTCCAATTGATCGCAAGCCGTCCTAGACTGGTACTTCGGTACCGAGGGGTGCAGGTGGGATCCTGCGAAGAGGTTATGTAGATACTTCTGGGCACGAGATGGCCGTTTTGATGTCGGGTCACCTTGGGGATCCGTTCCAATCAGGTCGTGTCGTTCTGAGTGTCAGCGAAAGTCATAAGGCCCGAATGGGCAAAAAGGGGCCCGCAAAGCTTCATCTACATACTTGCGATCTATAGAAAACTGAATGTGTTGTCGGTTCCGTGGCTTGTGAAGACGACATGACGAATAGCTGTGGGCCTTTGGACCACACGGCGCGAGAGAGACCTTAAGCCTATGTCTTCGGGTCGCGGTTTCAGGTCCTCTCCCACCTTTGGCAAAAGCCTTTGAAACTTGTACACCCTTCCGCAAAATTTGGCAGGACCCCCTCCAAACCCTAAACCTTCCGCAAAATTTGGCAGGACTCCCTCCAGAAAGAGCTTTCCTATGTCGTCGCTGCCTTGTCGGCTCTGAGCCTCTGCATCTCCAGCGGGGTGGTGACGCTGACGGCCTACATGTGCCCCGGCGAAGCCTGTTGCGATCATGGCTTAGGGATGTAAGGGGTGTAGGGTTTAGGGATGTAAGGGGCGTAGGTTTGCAAGGGGTTGGCTTTAGGTCTGAAGGGCTCGAGGTTTGAATGGTTTGGGTTTTTTTCGGGTTAAGCGGGTTGAGGCGAGCAGCGAAGTCATACTGATGCTGAGGCTTTGGGCATACTTGTTGTTTAGGCAATGCGCTTTCGAAAATGCTAATGCGAGTTTGTCTAGCACTAGTGGATGGAGCCCCAAATGCAAAAGCACATAATTCTTCCGCGAGGCTCGTCCCGTATGCACAGTGTAACATACCCCAAAGCGCTGTTCTGATTATAATGCCCTTACATGAAGTGGAAGGATCTGTAGATCTGGCCAATGTTCGTTTCGGGCTTGGCTTAGTCTTGCGCTTTGGCTTGGTCAGTTCTTGGATCCGCGTTTCATAGTCCATGATTAGTCTTCCCTTCACAGAAGAACTGCTGCATGTGTGTTATCAGGGTAGGCAAACCTGCTGGCACCCGAGCCGAAGCAGCACCATCATTCTGCATCCGTTGAGGCAGTCCCATGTACTACTGGGCCTACACAAGAGTCTGGACTGCTGGTGCTGCGACGCTTCGCCGAATACCTTGCCAGGCTTGAGGCGTTCTTGTTTGGACTCAGCACCTATTATCAAAGAGAATGAGTGACCTCAAAGTGGAATATGGCAGTGCTGGATCCTGAGCCCTCGTTGTAAGAAACACTGCTTTAGGGGCTTCGGCCTGTGAGTTTAAGGCTTGGGACTGTTCATCTTCACGAACCCAAACCCTAAAACCCTGACACCAGAAACAAACTCCCGAGTCCCCTTAAAGGCAAAGGGACCTTGGTATAGAACACAGTACCTTAGTGCCCGTATTAGTACCCCTTTAAAGGGACCCTGGGCCCTTGAAGAGCCAGTTTCCGTGTGCTCCTGTATCATTCAGGTAAACTGCTCTCCAATGGCAAGTGAGATTCTGGCCACCAGTAAACACATGGTGGGCTCATCCAGATTGTCGAAACCCTAAAGCCAAAACTCGACGTCCTGAATTTCTATATCCTGTGATAAAAAAAGTTGTTGCCTAACGCCTATAGCTTTGCCACATCACTAGGGCCCAATCCCGAAATTCCAAACCCTAAACCCTATATGGGTAGTTCTCTAAATTGGGGTTCGTTTTACAGTCCTTTTTATAGGGGTGCCGTACTGTATTGGTGACCTAAGCACGGACCACAACTTAGAGAACTACCCATACGGCTGATCATGAAAATCCTGCACTACCCATACTAAGGCATAGACCATACTTCCCATAGTTTTTCGGGTCCTTAACGTAGTGCAGGATCTCTAAGATTAGAAGTATGGGCCACTAATATGGACCCTTAGGCCTTTCTAGGGACCCTTGAGGCTACATATAGGGTATATAGTAGGTGTATAAGGATCCCAAAGTTAAGGGCCCATACTAGGGGCCCATGGTTTCAACCTTTCAGGATTTAGATCATCAACAGTATGTCGTCTAGGACATCGCCAACGATCCAGACTTCGAAGCCGGTGTGCAAAATTGGAATGCCATGCAGGCCACGGCTTAGGGTTTAGGGTTTAGGGGCGGTCCTTCGGGGGCATTGAGGATAGAGGGCTTGCCCTGGGTTTAGGTTTAGGATTGAAAGTGAAAGGGCGTAGCGAAATTGTCAGCTCTTTGCTTCAGTCCATGCTGACAGGCTATGGGAAATCGCTCCTTGGGGTTGCCAGGTTTTGGGTTGATGGAGCTGAGGGATGTAGGGCTGGGTTTAGGGTTCAGAAGGATGTGGTCAGAGGATGGGGTGCTCGCAGCCCGGAAGACTGTGCTAATGGGCAAGACGTGAGGAGGACGGAGCGCATTTCAGATGATGCGAAGCGGGCTTCATCTTGTTCGTCGCCATGATTCTGAATAGCAGAAGCGCGCAATGCAGAGATTATTCCATGGCCACGACGACAGTCGCGTTAAACAGAAGAAGCATCATCGCAATTATCATCCTCGCCATCTTGAGCCTAGCAGTCCTGCAGCATAGCATCATCGCCATGAGCAGTAGGAGCATCACCGATCTATATGGACTTTACCCCAAATTGTGGATTACTCGTAGAGTTGGAGTCTTAGCGCCTCAGGTGCGTTTCCTGTTCCCTGGCACGACACCACCAGCACCACCACCAGCAGATGCATCATCCTCCTCCTCATCATCATCACCACTTTCAGTCTGCCATCCCGGTAGCCGAGGATGTAACATTCATCCTGCAAGCTGCAATGCCACCCCTATACTTATACAGTCCCCAACTATCTCTGTCCTTGAGTAAACCGGTACACCTATATGAGCCACCTCTGATGCAACAGTGTCTCCAGCATCACCGACCAGCATCCCGGAGGCTCTCCTGAAGTGCGTGGGCCGTGAGTTGGCCAACAGCTTCCTGCTGCTGAATGCGCCTCGGCACGCACTGCTTTCCTAGAGCGCACAGAAAAATAATCAACAAATAAGTTTAGATAAATGCGATATGTATATATATATATACTGTACATATACAGGCATTTGTTTCTTGAATTGTTTACATGCTTTTTCATGCAGCAGGAGAGACATAATTATGCAGTACAGTGCTTTCGGTGTCGGATATCTGGGATATCTACCTAAGATTAACCCTTAAGTCCAAAGCCCTAAAGTCAAAGCTGAGCCTGCAAGCTTGCTGCGCCTCGCTGTGATATTTTGCTGCAGTAAACGGCCGTCTTTGAATGCCAAGTCTAGAATGCCTACACCATTCAGCCACTGACAAACGAGCAGGTTGATTTCAATTCTGTGTATTGAACTCCGGGCTGACAGGGATTGGGCACCCTACCTCGACCTGCGACTAACAGATCGGAAGACCCTTGGAAGTCACCACGGACCGGATTGAATCGTAAACCCACCGTGCTGGCCCCATATACCCGAAGACAGTTCTAAAGACCCTTCCGTTGATTCCAGAGGGCAAGCAGATTGATCTGTGTTTTAGGGTTTAGGGTTTTAGGGTTTAGGGTTTAGGGTTTAGGGATTAGGGTTTAGGGTCTAGGGTTTAGGGGTTTAGGGGTTTAGGGTTTAGGGTTTAGGGCTCATTGGACAGTTTGGGAGCGCTGGGTGCCCCAATGCCTGCATCCTGCACACGGCTGCAGGCGATGGCCGTCGTCGGCTTGGCGTGCTTCCTCACCAGTTGCGCGACGATTGCAGCTGGGCCAGATTCTCGCGGGGATCTAGAATTCCTCGGTTAGGGTGCAAGACAGGTGTGGTTTAAGTTGGAATTGTCTCACTTTGTGCAGTCTGAGTCACATTATCGCAAAAAGCAGTGTGTTCCAGGCTCTTGATGATGCGGTCCTGCAAGAGTTGCAAGCAGAGCACTAGTTTGCTCTATTTGCTTCCCGTTCATGCGCAGAAGTCGGCTGCCTCTCCGGGTGAATGGTGACTCTAGCGGTCTGGATACTTACTAACTCTATCATTTAATTGAAAAGGCCCTTCTAAGTACTGAGGCTCATGTACTAGCTTTCCTCGTATGTTGAACTTCTTGAACATCAGCCGGGGGCCCGCGGAGCCCGTAAATCAGGACGACTGAGCCTGAATTTGGGCTTTATGAGGTGAAGGGTTTCAGGTTGAAGGTAACTTCGAAGCTAGGCCGAACTTGAGCTACCGAGAATCATCAATATCGACATGAGCCTTTGCATGCTAAAATCCGCGTCTCTCTTGATCTCTTTCTGCTAGCCAGTTTTTTTCATTTCCCTGGGCGAATGTTCCTCAGACTTAGAATACGGATAGGCCAGGTTTCGGAATGAAAGAGTTTCATTCATCGGCATTCCTGTCTCTTAGAGGCATCAGACCCATCAGACGTGGAATTACCTTGTGCCCCTTCGCTAGTCCCAATGTAGGGGCCTAAATAAATAAATAAATAAATATATATATATATATATATATATTATCTTGCGGGAGTTTAATGGCCCCCAAACCCTATTCTAAAATTTCAGGCCCCTATATTACCCATATATATATATATATATATTATTGACGGAGTGAAATAAGCCCACGAATATGAGGCTGTCCCATGCAGCCACGGCCAGCGACTCTTCAACCTTTGGGGCCCCCGCGAGAAAACAGCCCAAACCTTAAACCCTGAAGCCTAAACCTTGCTATTTAGGAGGCCAAAAACCCTTGCCTGCTCCTTGCCAGGCGAGAGGGAGCAAGTTCAGGCGAGTTGCAAAAAGGGTCCGCAAAAAGACTAAAACACAACTGACACCCTAAGATTCTTCGCGCCTCTCGAGGTGCTCAGCGATGAAAGCAGCCGCCTAGCACTGCTCGCCGAGGGTCTTCCCTCGCTTCCTTTGCTCTTCATTTTCCTGCTTCTTGGCAGATCCTGAGCTCGGAATTCTGGTTTTGTCCCCAAGTGTACATAGCTATGATTATATTACTAGTCTCTCTCTCTCTATATATATATATGTATATGTATGTACGAGTGACACCTGCCATGCAGTGTCTGCGGACGTTGCCAAGCGGGAGCCAAAACAAAAATAATACATTATATATATATATATAATGCACGCGGTATATCATACATACTACAACGAATCTGTGCTCAAACGTTCCTGCTGCATTTCGAAGGCGAGGAGGCTTCTAGCCACGGAGCGAGAGTGTGCATGGTAGTACGAATGCCCTTTGCCTGAAATGCTGAACATCGTGTCTAAGCCCTATTGGGCCTATTGCCAGGAGGCTGAAAGCTAAGCGCTCTAAGCCGGAACACGTAAATCAAACCCGATACAACCCAGTCCAAATCAAGCACGCAGAAGCTCAAGCTAAACTTGAACAAACGCAGAGTCTACGGAACCTGCTACCTCGCCCACAACCCCGGGCTAGTAACCCCAGTCTACTTAGAGGCCCAGGGGACTTAATAAGTGGGTTATAAGTAGAGTTATAAGTAGCTTAAATGGAGTTACCTTAATTATAACCCTACTTATAACCTACTTACTAAGTCCCCTAGACCTCTAAGTAGAGCCAGCCCTAGGTTGAGCATGCGAGTCTTTGCACATGCCGCAGCCCTCACCGCTGCCCTTCTTGGAAATCTCAGTGCAAGCGTTGGGGGCTTGACTGTTTTCGGGATTCCAATGTTCGAAATGCACTTCCAGCCCGAAACTGTTGAAGGTTCAGTTCCTCAGACCGTAGAGCCCGAACTTCTAGAACTCAAAGCTGGTGCTTCGATATGTGACTTCAGGTTTTGGGCATTCACATGGTCGCGGCGGCCATAGAACAGGCTCAAAAAGGGTTCAGCAACAAAAAGGAGAAGGAAAGCAAGAGTTTGGGACTGCTCCCTTTATCTCCCAAGAAGACGTTCTCTTGAGCTACTTGTTTGATAGTTTGGAGCGGCAGATTTCCAGAGGGGGCTAACAGGAGCATGATGTGTTGCCCTGTTATTGACAGCAAGTCGCAGGTTTCACCTGTTGCCAGCACAGCAGAAGGACAGTTTCATCCTCGACGATCCCCGAACCCCAGCCCTCAGCACCCTTATATAACCAAGCTGAAAGCCACAGTCCCTGGCGTTACACATCTTCCGCAAAACCTAGCCGAACCTAACTGCGGAAACCGGAATTGTAAACACGGAACCTTGGACGCCTGCTTCGTTCTGGCAGAATTGCATAGTTGGACTTGGCTCAAGCACAAGAAAGGTTGACTAGCAAGCTTTTTCCCAACGAAGTACTCCTTTTGCTCGGTGTTTGGATCTGCAGCTCTACCTTTGACCCCAGCTCAAAACGTGGCTCAGGATGTAGTGATGTGTGCAGAAGGTGGATACACCGATACACCCCCCTGCCTCGCCTGAGGTATCCTAGTTGCAGTTGAAACCGCACACCGGAAAGCCTAAAAATAGAAAATGCATACACACACAAAACTATGACTCCGACAGAAGGCTGCTTGCGATAGCAGTGTCGAGCCCTAAATATCCTTGGTTACAAGTCCCTGCTACTGAGAAGGTTCTTGGGTTCTCATTTTATGTGCATTTCGGGAATATTCCTTGCCTAAGGGATGCTGGAGCCCCGGGCAACGCCGGAGGGACAACCCAAAAGCCCAGGAGAAGTGCCGATCGATACCAGCCTTCGTGAATCAAATACCGACTCAATATTGCATCTCTGGCGGCAAGTAGTAGTCGGGCTCAGTGTGTGTATGAGACTTCTTGAGTTTTAGGGTTTACGGGATTCAGGGTCCATAAGTCTATGATATTGAAGATTCTTGGGCTTAGGGTTCAGGGTTTACAGGATTTCTGCGGATATGAAGATTTCTGTGCTTGTGTTGTGGGGATACTGTTCAGCCGTTCTGAACTGAAAGGTTGCGATCCGAGCCGGCAGTATTTGGTGACCTACATCGCAGACAGTGCTGCTGGCTTCTCCGTGTTGAACATGAAGGCCATGCACAGACACACATGCATAAGTTAATAAATAAATACTCATATATATATATATATAAATATGCGTGTAGTTCAAAAACCTACCTACCCTATCCGACATTAGGTGGGTACAGCGAGATTGGCTGGGGCTTTCAGGACAGAGCGATTGGGACGAGCCTGCCAGAATGTAGTGGCCTGGACCTTGCAGCTTTGAGTTCAGGAGGGTCGGCTCGAGCAGCCACAGCCCGCACGATTAGACTTGAGCTCTACCTTGCAATCCTATCGGGGACACGCCCACAAGGTCCACGAGCCCGAAGCCCTAAACCCCACAGTGTACTTGTGTGGAGCCGTGCCTGCTGCGTGCGAGAGTGAGAGTCGAAACCCCACAGTTTCGGCCCTCACCTCGTTTGTTCTGCGTCATCTCGAACCCTCGGACCTGACATTTCGAAAC